TGAAAAAAAAAAATGATTAAAACGTATTCTATTATGCTAAATAATATTTTTATGCGTCACACGCTCGCCCTCTTTCAATGTCTTTTAAATCATTGTTATTCTTGTCAGTCTGTCGCAACAAAGGGCAATTAACTTTGTTACCCCACTTCTTAACGACGCTGCGCTTTCTCAATTTTCCCATCGTAAGGATTTCCGTTTAGCCGCTTGGCGCGGTGTCACCATTAAAGTTACTTTTCTCCCGACAGTGCGAGCGACAGTGCAGTGCGGCCGATGAAAACCCGCCGGATATTGGAATCGCGATATTTTTATTCGGAAAAGTTCGAAAGCGAATATATCTTTCACGGCGAAAAGTCTCGTAGGTCTGTGAGACGGCGAGTTTCGGAAATGATGTGGTGCGACATACAGCGAATTCGTGGATTAGCAAAATAAAGTCGCTAATATCTTGCGAAATTTTCTACACATTTAAGACTCGTTTATAAGTTGGTTTGAAGCTCGCGTAAGCACGCATTGGCAGCAAAACTGTTGCAAGTTTACTTTTTTATGAGTGTCAAAGCTCTTCAAAATTGTAAAACTGTTTTTACAAGTTTTCCACGTTCTATATTTTGGATATAAATGTATGCATTTCCGACAAATTTTTTAAAACTTATCACAAAGAGAAATGTATTTTTCTCTGCCTCTCTTTCTCTCTCTTTTTCTTGTAATATAATAACAGCTACAAAAAACGCGCAATGCGGCAGAAGCAATGCAGTGGCCTATCATCTCTCGCTGCATATCCATTACTTCCGGAAAAGTGAGAGACTGATTGGTGACCGCGTGAAACACGCGTTATTCCCCAGCGTTTCGGCGTTCTGCGGATTTTACATATCGGGATTTTGCATGCTCCAAAGCTCGTATATACTGTCAGACGCGTTCGCCTTTTCTCTATTTTTTTTATTTTTTTAACGTGAGATACGCAAATGGCTAGTGACACACGTGGCCGTAAAACATTTTTATTACGTCAATGAAATCCGTACTGGAAATAAAAATTTTCGCTTCGTTCAGTATCGTGCAATTTCGATTTCGCAATAAATCAGATTAAGTAACATTCACCGATACGATCGTCTTCTCCGGAATACCGAGTGAGTCGCGAAATCGTCGAATGATTCATAAAAGATTTCTTGCTTTTCTCTCTCGAAGGACAGCGAAAGGGCTGTGAGAGGGCTCGAGCGCGCGGACAAGATATATATATATAACGGTCATAAATTGCGGTTTATGAGGTACGCCTCGACGTACTTCCCCTTTCCTCCCCCTTTACTTTTTTATTAACGTTTTAAAATGCACAACGCGCGCGCATCACGTAAATTACCACCGAAAAGGATCAACCGGGAAGTTCGCCAAGCAGGTCAGATCGATAAAGTTTGGCACGAAGAACGTATCAAACGGAGGGGAGGAAAGGGGGGGGGGAGGGGAAAATGTAAATTCAGTTTGGAGAGTGGTGCTCTCATTGTTGAGACACGGCCGTATCGCGCGGCGATACGTACGTATATGCCGCGTGTACGTTTACCCGAGCACAATATTTGCGTATCGGTCTTTGAGAGAACAGCACAATGGTCCTCGTCGAAAGCATCGACCGCATAACGTCGCATTCGTAACGCGCATAAAACCGCTTACGACACGTCCCCCAACTGGAATTAATTCGTTCTTGCCATAATGACTGCTAGGCGTGCCGCGCATAATTCATCGGCGTCTCCCTCGATCAATCTAAAATCATTTTTGCCCTTTATTTTGCCCCGAATAAGCGTCGTTTTGAAAGATTGAAGCTTTAATTATAATTCTTGTACAAATATTAAATTTTAATCAATCTTTTAAGGAACAATATATTATATAATTTATTAGAATTTTTGGTAACAGATTTCTTTAATGAGGTTGGTATCGATTATTTTGTCGTCTAAAGGTGATCAACGTTTAGACAGAGCAACTTTGCAATTTTTTTATATTACATGTCTTTATACTAAGTACTTAAACTTGTCTTGGGTTCTTTCACTTCAAAACTTATCCTATTAATTCTCTTGGGCGCTAAAAAGTAATTACTTTTGTGCCAACTGTACTTTCTCTGGGACGCGAGGTTTTAACGAGACGCTTCCAACTTTAATTGGCATCATCTGTCATTCATATTTATCCATTTTTATTATATTATTAACAGAATATTGATTTTATATTAAGAAATCGCATGATAAGAATATAGTATTATATTTATGTATAAAATGTCCATATTTATTGTATATTTATATTCTTGAATTGAACTGCTTGAATAAGAACAAATTAACAAGCTACAGTCTATTATATGTAAATAAATAACAATAATTATATATAAATGAGAAAACGTGCTTTTCCAGGTACTCGAAATAAAGTTTCAGAAGGTATTATTACCGGCGCACAATTATCGAACGTAAATTCGCGAGCTCGTTCGCTGTCAGCTTGTATTCGACGAAATTCCCTACTGTTTGTTTTGTGCAGTGTCATCTTACATCGCATTAACGGGAAGATAACTTTGGGAAAGGGGAGTAATGAAGAGAACACCGGCGCAGATTTTCTTGCGATCGTTTTTTTGCCGCCACCTTAATGGAGAACACCGGGTGTGCGCGCGCGCAATTATTTGCGAAACAGCTCTGGAGGGCAGAAATCTCCTTATGGCATTTCTAGAATAAGACTGTTACCTTTGTGCGATGTCTCGCGCGCGCATGTATTTTCATTTGTCTTTCATTTAATTACTCTCCTTACCCGTCTCGATCGTTTTTCTTTCATCCGGTTTTCCCTTTTCTGCGACATAAGTCTCTCGTTGCGTGCTTGTAAGACTCTATCCTGCTAATTTGCAATTTCAATATTTAACATCGGATTTGTGAGAATGGGAAACCTCAACCGTGTTGATTGACGAAAGTGATCTCTTAGATTAGATTAAATATATCCATTTGTTCTGTAACGCGACGAATTCTGGTAGGAAGAAAAAAGAAACGTTAGGATATAAATTTGGACATATTCTGTGTGTGTCTTGCAGCCAGAGATACATATGTGATCAGATAATTACAATTTGATTAACAATAGTTTAATAATCGAGCTTGGTTTTGTCACATAAAAACAATAGATACAAATAATTCAGTATTGATACTTATTTTCCAGTATGTTTTCGTCCAAATATGATTTTTGTTGAATTATTAATTAATTTATCTTTTTGATAATAATAATAATAATTAAGATCGAGCTGTTTCATACGCTTAAATGTAAAATATACAATTTGACAATGTAATAAATTGTGCAATGTCTTGATAGCTTTTGTAAAATATATGCTCCGTTTAAAGAGAAAGAGAAATAGAGAGAGAATACCTTATTTTGCCTTTATTTTAATGGTGTCAGGATTCTTCTTAGATATGAGTCGCGTTCCTGGATTACAATTACTTTTCGGGATGCGATTTCAAAAAACTATCCAGTTAATAAAATCATACATGGATTTGATTTTAAGGGAGATTTATTTTTCTGAGCGTTCTTTAGTAAATACTGTGAATATAATTGCCTTCTGGATATTTCTTTATTATTTTTAGAAAAGGAGGATATTTCATATAAAATATTTTATATAAAAAGAAAAAAAACAGAGAATTAAATTAATATATATTGCATTCAAATTTGATTGAGAAGAAAAATTATCTATTAGAGTTGCGCGATAACCCTTCCCGAGATTTAGCTCCGGTTAAACGGAATCACAAGGCGACAGGACGAAACGTGAGCTTTCTCCGCTCGGATTTTGCGCCTTTATCATGTCACGCCTCGTTACTATCTGGCAAAAGTGGATGAGCCGTAATCTCGCGCTGCAAGAAAGCGAGACTCGCTCTGTCGCAGTCTCTTTGACGTTGCAGGTGTCATCGCGCACGGAGATAATGCTAGAGGAAACTTGCTTATTTCTCCTTGCATTTCCAGCGAGATTTCTGGTGCATGGTCTTGCGCTCATGCGTTATACTTTTGACGTGAATTGGTACATTGTCCACTTAACAAAGAATAATACAACGATAATATACAACAAGACAATGAGGAAAGGTTCGCGTTACGAAATTTTGATTGAAATTTAATCAGCTTTTTTTACAAACATTGAAATCTTATTTTTTATTTCTTCTGGAATTGAATCCAAGTCTTTAGAAACGGGCTCTTTATCTCTAATGTTTCGCGCCAGTTTTTCCTTATTATCCTCAGTTACGTTGTATTTTATTCTCGCCTCATTACGTAGGAAATTCTACACTCATGAGGCGCGGAAAAGGTACCGTCGTACTGTGGCAGAGTTTTCGCGCTGTGGGTGTCATCACATCCACAGGTGGTACACAAGCGTGTAGGTTCATTATGGTATTTTTCTGAGCGGAAGTATCATCTTGTCGTAAATACTCGTAACATTGCTAGCGGAGCAACATTCGTCTACATTCTTCCGTTCATCTTGTAAAATTTCGCGCTAGACGACGAGAGACGGAAAAATTATTGCGACATACGTACGACATGAAAGTTTTTCATTAAAATTTTTAGAGTTACAGCATACATATGAATCACAAAGGTAAAATTATTTTATTCAAAATTGATATTATAATATTTATTTTAATATTATTATAATAGACAAAGAAAATAATGCAAATATTTTTTTTATACAAAAAAGTAACAATTATGAAATTAAATATGGGAAATACAAAGAACACAAATAATGCTTAAAAAAGAGAATAATAATAAATGACGAAAAATCATAGAGATTTAGAAGATGTAATTTTTTACAGTTGAAAAATTATGCACAGATTGCGATATTGGAATAGAATTAAAAATTGTCAAAGAAGAGAATTTAATGCTGACGGGTAGTGAATTGCAAAAATTGCGAAAAGTGAGTTGACAAAAAAGAGATATTTGGAAGGAAATAAAGAAGAGTAATCGGTAAAGAGCTCCGTAGATCGAGTTAAAAAGGAATCGCCGTTTACAGCCACCCTTCTTTAATGTTGCAGGCGTCATCACATCGACTGGTGTCGGTGTGAGGCATCGTCTGAGTGTCGGCTCCGCGTCCGGTCTGAGCTGCGGGGGCGACAAGTACCGCGACGGCAGGAGTGGTAGGACCGGCGACGGCAGAGCCGGGGGCAGCGGCAGGGAGAAGGAGGATGACACCAAGAGCGCGGAGAACGTGTCCAGGGGAGTTTTACCCTCGAGGCAAAGCCTCTTGGACCTCGTCAGCGGTAAATTCATGGGCCGACACACACCCACGCACCACTACTACTACCAGCAGCAGCAGCAGGTTGGTTACCGCCCGCGAGAGATTGCATGGCTAAAATATTCCTTTCATCACGGGAAATATCCTAGCGAGGACATTCCGCGCGTCAATTCCGACCGGTATTTGAGTACTTCGATATTATACCCCGTATTCTTTCCCACGCATCTGCGTTTTAGTGGACGAGTGCAATATCGGTTGCAGTGGAAAAATCAGGGGATCTTGCTGAAAGAGAGAACGCTATATACACTGCTATTCTACTTATTCGTCACGTTTTAACTTTTTTTCTTTTTCTAAAGATGCAAAAACTTTTACTTTTTATATTTTTTCATATTTGATTTTAACTATTATGTGTACACTTTTTTTCAAGCCAAAGAGATCTTTTCCTTAAAAAAAAAGATCTCTTTTTTAATTATAAAGTTTTTAAAAATTGCAAAGTTTTTATCAAAATTAGTTATACATTTTTTTTATCAAGATTACGTTTTAAATTCTGACAAATAAATTCCGCGAAATATATTTGATGCTCTGAAAAGTGAAAAAATAAGGGACAGAGTGGAAAAATAAGAGATTAGAGAAAAAATATCTCTAATTAGACTTTTTTAATCAACTAAGAATTTCAATTGGAGTTATAACAACGAAATAACTGTATTACATTTACTTTCATGAAAAGAGTCATATACGCATCCGAGCTTATCGCGCTTGATTCCGAACTATTCGACGCGCAAAAAAATTTGCAACAACAATCCCGCTAGCGGGATAACAACGTTCGCAGATATTCGCTCCGCTATGCGCGACAACCGCATGAAAACCGTGCTTCGGCGATTCGAGCATTGCATGAGAACTCGAACAAACCAGCGCGGAAAATATGTGCGACGAGAATCTCCGGGAAATGGAAAACAACGAGAGCGGTTACGCAGCTCGTGCAGTCAGCGATTAAACAAAATACGACGGATATATTAATCAACCGGCATTGTTGAATCGCGGTCGGTGGAAAAAACAGCGATTTCCAGTGAAATTAATTATAATATGATTAATCGTATTTACGGTTCATCTATTTCAATGAAAGGAATATCGCTCGCTTGTGTTTTGCGACACATTCTACATCTTTTTACAATATATTTATATGACATATATTTATACAGCACATTTATACTCCATATTTCCGCACATTGAGAATATTCAAAAATTTGCACAGCAGCATTTTTACAAAATGCACCGCTAATATGTACATAAGATAACTATTTCGTGTTACACTTGGTGCAACCTAATTGGTGCAGGTGTACTCTGTGTCGCAGCGATACTTCAGCTCGTCGCGCGATTCGCTTTCGGGCGCGTACGTGAACCGGGGAGCAAGCGAGCTCGATCTGAGCCGTAAGCCAAGGAGAAGGGACCAGCTGAGGGGCAGATTTAAGCTGCCGTACACAGTTGCGCTTACGGCCTCGCGCGACCAATCGCACTTGCACACACCGGCGTCGGTCAATCATCTGAGCAACAGCAGCTGCAACGGCACTGAAACGTGAGTAATCCCGTCAGCGAGCAATCGCGAATATTTCTATTCGAATATCGAGGTTCGTTACACGACGTTAGATAACCTTTTCTTGCCGCACTTGGACGGCCAAGTGGACGGATATTCGTCAAAAAATTCAATTTGATGCTAATCCCGGTTTTTATAAGAGGTCAGATCCGCGATGGAAATTCAGGAAAATGAATATAACGAAGAAATCTGCGTAGTGAAGGATCATAAATATTCAAGCGACTTCTTGAGAGGTTTCAGTTAATACCGGGTCGTCGTTTCTTGCGTTCCTAAAGATAGCTTAATCGTGCCAGGAGTTCTTTAACGAGAAATATCTCCGTGGAAGCAAGGAATTGTCGAGAACGAGAGAAACGCGGAAGAGAAATGAAATTGCGGGAAAGTTGTTTTTTTGTAAACAGCGAAAAGGTTTTTTTGCTGGAAATTTGACGAAGCCGTGCGATGCACGCAAATTGCATGAATTGTTTGTTTTTTCCTTTTGAACTTCGAACATTTGATACTTTTAACGTCGCAATTTTTCCGCAATTTTTCATATTGATACGCGAGTCCTCGCGCAGTGTGGGCGTTAACGAAAAATGGACAGCTGTGCCCTCGTGACCTGTGTTCAGGAACGAGAGTAATTAATCTACGCTCATTCATCCATTTATTCTTTAGTAGATATACGGCACATCAACAGCAACAGCAACGTGGTAGTAGAGGATACCCTGGGCAATCTGGATCGAGGAATTTTCGCACGGGCGCGCCGAATTGGTCCTTCATCTTCGATCCTGCGGGACGCCTCTGTTACTATTGGTCGATGGTGGTTTCCCTTGCCTTTCTTTACAACTTCTGGGTGATCATCTATAGGTTCGCCTTCCAGGAGATCAACGGTTAGTCCGTAGTGCACTCACGACTTCCTTCGAATTCCGCAAACGCGTTTCACAGGAGCGTTTTATGTGGGACACATCCTACGCGGAGTTTGGAGATTGGGCTTCCGAACTTCTGGAAGCACGTTAATTTATCTTCTTGAAAAATTGATTGAAACTGCGAATAGAAAGCGAAAGTTTGACATATAATTTTTATATAGATTAATAATTAATTATAAACAAGATCTGTGTTTCATACAAACGCACAATATGCACTTTAAAAAATTTAATCTAAAAGATCTTTACATCAAAACGCTCCTGTGAATACGAATTTATTAAATTATGATGTGATTAATTGATTTATATCTATGTGAACACGTTTTAAAAAGCGTGAATTGCTTTTAATGGTATTTCATATTCAAGAGTTTTGGGGAATTTTATCAAAGGAATTAGATTTTCGTTCAAATACTCATAACTTGCACTTTAATTAAATGTCAAAGCGAGCAATAACTATATCTGTGGCTATAATTTGTAAAATAATAACATTAAAATGCGTACGAATTAAACAGGAAATAAAAATATAAAAATAAAAATAATATGAAATCAATTTCACGTATGCAGTGAATTTTTTAGTTACAAATACAAAAAGCTGTGCTAAATATAATAGCAATCAATTCGGAGATATCAATAGCACTGATAATCGATTGAATATGGAAAAGTTTGAATTATGCTTTGGGAATATATGCAATTTAATTTTGGAAAAACAAATATTTGGAAACAGAAAGAATTTAACTTTTAAAAAATATAATTGCCAAGCTATAAAGATTAATCATAAATGCGCATGTTATGCATATATTGAAATGCATATATTGAAATGCTTATATTGAATTGTTTTTTATTATTTTTTTTGGCGAATGCAGGAGAGACTCGTTGGGTGTGGTTCTGCCTGGACTACTTCTCGGATTTTTTATACGTGCTCGACATAATATTTCACATTCGAACGGGATACTTAGAAGATGGCGTGTTACAAACCGACGCCACGAAACTGAGAAATCATTATACGAACAGCACCACGTTTTACATAGACATCCTGTGCCTGCTGCCCCTCGACTTTTTATACTTATCTATAGGATTTAACAGTATGCTGCGAAGTTTTAGACTCGTAAAAATTTACCGGTAACTATTATTCAATTTTCTATCTTTTACAATTATTTAAGTTCATTAATTAAATTGCATGGCAAGTTTATCATACTATCACTTTACGTAATATTTTATTTATTATATTTATTAATTATTACTTATTTATTAATTTTTTACTTATTTTTAGAATATAAGAACAGTTAATTTATGCATGTTATTTGAAAAAGAAATTAATTTTGGCACAGAATTGAGCGGAGCGCAACAAATTAAAATATTTTCTTAAAATCTAAATTTTTTATATTACACGAATTTTTGCGCGAAAATTATTATATATTTCGAATCTCGCAATTTAGGTATAGTGATCTTAGCAAAGTTGAACTCATTGTTGTGAATTTCTTTCTCATCTCAACCATACTTACCATTTGATTCCGAATGTGTAAGTACGAAAGTTTTAGTTTCTTCTTGGGGAAAATTGTTTGAACTGGACTTGTTTGGACTAAGCCGAGATTGAAAAGGATTGTGAAAGTTTGCGCGTAAAGTCACAGTTAACGCGATACTGATCTTTCGCACGTGAACGTTTACACATTCCGGTGTAAACATCAGCGATCTCGGAGTACCGCAAAAAAATAAAAACAAAAAGCAGAAAACAAATACGTCGAACGAACGATTGGATAGTACATGTTGTATTTCAATATTATCTTTATTAGAAGCAACGCGCGAAAGAGAAACGCAGTTTTTTTCCGTAACTATCGACGCGAGAATTTCACATCTGCGATTTATCGACGAGCCACGCTTCGTAAAACCTGATTTTATCAGAATTAATAGCTTGCCAATGGTTCTCGTAGTATATTAAACTACGAATGTGTGTGCGTGCCTCATTCTCATTTATCGTTGACATTGGACGCGATATGTGTATTAAGCAAACGGAACTGGGAATCGGATGGTCGTATTTAATGACAAATGGTGGCTGTGAGAGAGAGAACATGGATTGTAGTATAGATCTCGTGTGTTCGCGAAGAGTAATGAGAGAACATATAAAAAGTATTGAAACTGGAGAAAAGGCCACGCGATATAATAGATTTAGTAATACAATTTTCTTCTTTCGATAAAAACATTGATCAAATGGACACTCGGAACACTAAATTGAGATAATAATCAATTATGTCAACTATTCAAGTTTCGATAAAATTAAAAAATAATAGTGGAATTTATACACTTTTTCAGTGCTCTTCACAGTTCATACTATAAATCATTCATCAAAATCGTTTCAATAGCTACGCTGCGTCGCGTTATAAATCGCGAAAATAATGCGTAAATGGCGCGTCAATGCGGCGGAATCTCGCCGCGCTCATCAATGAAAATAAATAAATAAAAATAGGAAAGGAGTATATTTTTAAACCTGTTGAAAGCTCAATTTTTCTTTTATGCACGGAAAAATAAAAAAAACCGTTTGTTCCGCGTTCTCGTTGCGCTCCGTGTGATTCTTACCGTGAAATGTTCTGAGAGGAATTTCAAAATTTATCGGCGCCACGACCGCCGGAATTTCCGCCAATTTTCTCGACCTGTTTTCTCTGTGTCTGGCATAGGTTCTGGGCGTTCATGGACAGAACTGAGCGACACACAAACTATCCAAATTTGTTTCGCTCCACCTCCTTGATACATTATTTACTGGTGATCTTTCACTGGAACGGGTGCCTCTATCACATTATTTATAAGAACAACGGCTTCGGCAGTAAGAACTGGGTGTTCAGCGACTCCGAAACGGCAGACGTTGTCAAGCAATACTTGCAGAGCTACTACTGGTGCACACTTGCCCTGACGACCATCGGTGATCTTCCCAGGTATTTATTTTTTTTTATTAACGAGTTTATGTTTTATATATATATGGATATACATACGTGTGGATTATGCAAGCTCGAAAAAGAATTTTGAGTGAATATATTAACATGACAAGAAATTTCTCTTTGCTCAAAAAGTCTCGGGAAACTCTTTCATTCGTATATGCAAACTATTATCTGTTTAAGCAAATTTTATTCATTCTATTCTCTTTTTGAAAGATAAAAGTTATTTGGTTTCGTAAAATGTATAAAATAAAATATTTCATGTGTAACGATATATTATATTAATTTATTTTATTGCGCAAAGGATATTTTGTTATGCTAATCGTCACAAAACGTTTGCGGCAATTTGATATATCTCTTTGTGACCTACTCTTTGTGACTTTTATGCAATTTTGTAGTATTCTTTTTTTCTCTTTTTAACGTCAGCGAAAACCCGCGGAAATAGCTTTCACACTATTATACCTTTCATAATTCTCAAATCAACATGCATATAGAGCAGAAAAAGCATATCAAACGCACCACAGTTACGAGACTATTAAAATAACGATTTTCTTTCCTTTTTTTTAATTCTATGCCGCTATGTACTTCCTATGTAGAATTTTTCACGAATTCGAAATCATTAATTACACGCGTTCGATTTTTAATAAAATACGGCGAACAAATGCTCAGCTTTATTTGGTTATAACGCTTCGTTGCAACTATACCTCGCAAAATGTAGTTTTTATAAAAATTGACAACAATGTGCGTGCAAAATATCCAAACCGCCGAAAAAAACAATTGTCAGAAAAATAACCGAACAAATAACTAAAATGATAAATTTTTTGTGATATTTAGGTTCTGCGGCGTACCATCGAAAATACATCGCGATTATATTTCGATCTTTCTTAATGATGTTTATTTTAAATTTGCATGTATACGCGATTTGAGATCTATCGTATTTTATATTTAAAACTTACAGAAATCGAATATTCCAATTTTGCCAATGTTTGTCAACGTAGAATGAAAATTCAAAGTCATTACTTCCTACGGTCGGATTCGTCCACAAAAGTCGTATAATCGGAAAACTAAAAAGAGTCGGTACACACACTGCGAATAAATGAATCACAGTATTTTTGTTGGCTTGAGTCAAATAGAGTTCACGCGGAAGAGAGAAGAAAAATGACCGGTGCTATTTCTATGTCGGATAATGTACTTATCGTACGAAGAATTTTATTTGAAAGGAGGGTTTCTTTCCTCACTTTGTTCGAAATGGTGTCGCTAACGTAATTAACGAGTAATTAATTAATAAAAATATGAAAAAGGGTGCAGTTTTACGGCACTATTAAAGAAATTGTAATTAAATATAAATATAAAAAAATAATTTTGCTCTATGCATTTTTAAAAATATTTCTAAAGTAATTCTTTTTTTATATAAAAATTGTTTAAATATTGCATGAAAAAACAGTAGAAGCAAAAAAACGCATACGTTAGCCGAACGTTTAATATTAAAATATTGTACCTTTTTTTTCAGGCCGAGAAGCAAGAGCGAATATCTTTTTGTGATTGGTCAGCTGCTCTTCGGTTTGCTGCTATTCGCAACGGTGCTGGGTCACGTCGCAAATATCGTCACATCCGTCAGCGCGGCGCGGAAGGAGTTTCAGGGTGAGTCAGATCCAAATTCTTTGCATGCGCTTTTTTTGCGTTTAGCGCGCCGGTTGTACTTGAGTGGCAAACCGAATCACGTTCGACGAAAGCAAAATCAGATCAGCCATCGGCTTTTCTTTATATCACGAGCAGCGTCGATTTTTATTGCGACGCTATTGAATCCCCATCGTATTTCACAAAATTTTATTTCAACCTCACCGTAAAAGCAGAAAGAAGACTCACGAAAATATTCATCTCTTGGCTCGTGACGGTAAACAATTCAGCGCACATTAATGATACATTTAGCGCCAAAAACCAGAATTATGATTTTCATTTGATTTTCATCGCGCATAGAAACATACGAAAGTCACACACGAAAGTTCGCAAAGTTTGTATGCCACGTTTACACGACGTCGGTAATTATTCAAAGTGCTCGAATAAAATGAACCGCAAATGAGCGCAAAGTGCAACGCATTAGCACGCGTTTTCATTCAGATTTCATTTTCGAACTTGCGATATAATTCGACACAATAAAGGGAATTACAATTATGAATACGAGAAAACAATGAGCGTTAGCATATTTGGTGGATAAAGATGCAATAAAAGAACGAGTTTGAAAATTTGCGGGGGATCTGATTAATATGTCTCTGAAAAGAAATCTTCACATTTTTGACACGCAAGTCAGAGACAGTTAATTTTTGTCACGTAAATTTTTGCGCAACCGAATGACTTTTACAATAGATCTCTTGTGCATGTCCTGAAACATATGATAAAATATAGCCGTATGCTTTCGCGTTCCAAGTCGTTCGAATTACGGCTTGGCATACCGCCAGAAGGGACGGTTCCTCGCTCGTTCAGCTCGCCCGAGCCGTTCCATCGCGCGAAGCGGCATGATAAATAACTGCATTTTCAATTAACGTCGAGCAAGAAATGGACACTTCCGTGCTTCGAGCCCCGTTTTAATTGTGCCGCATCGCAGTTTTGCCGCGTCCGCATTTCCGCCCTTACACCTTCGTTATTTCACGACTCACCGGGTTGCTATCTACGCGTTGCTCTCCGCAAAATGCGCGATTCGATGAGGCGTTCTGGCGCAAAAGCCAGAGAGTGCGCGCGTCGACGGTCACTTTAACCCGAGAGAAATCGCAGACTGAGTGCTCGTTTCGCGTTTTTTTCTTTCTCACTTGTATCTTTCAATCTGTTGACACTCTCGCGTTTCTTTCCTCACGTGTATTTTTCTTAGAGTTCTTCTTTAAATAGCATTCGATAGAAGATTGCGCAAATGTACTTACTTCTGTTTCAACTTGTTCACGTTTGTAGTTGGTCCGTTAAATTCTATTTTAATTATAATATTGGTTAAATTAATTATTCCTATATAAATTAGTGTAGCGTAATAATAAGCAAATGAACAATGAGAAACCTTAGTCAATTTACTAGGAAACTTCTCTCAATTTTAACTAAATGTAACTAAAGTTAACGTTAATTATATTAACGCGAGTTTCGTTCCGTTAAACGACGGCGCGCGACTCACTGCGTTACAATTATAGCCGTTGCTTCCCTTGGCATTGTATTGCGTATCGAGAGACGCTAGAACTGCGAAAGATATAACTGAGAGACCTTCCATTGTACGCTTCTATAGGTATCTTCTTGCGGTGTTGTTCAATCACCGTAAAGTATGGGATATTTACCGAGATATTTCGTGATATTACCTTATGACTCCATATTTCTTCTGCCCAGAGAAAAGACTGTGAACGGCTATTCCGGTATTTTTCACGCTCACCGATCCCTATTTATCACCATTTGCATTTATTTTAAAACTAAAATTGATATTGTATTGCATTATATAACCAAATCTTTTCATGTGGTGTATTTTAATCAATATTTGGACATATTTTTATATAGTTTTAATTTAAAATAGACAGATTGATATAAAAGGAACGGTGAGCATTTCACGAAAAACACTGAGATGACTTTTAGCTTCTCTTTGATTTTGTGATCAACCGACCAGAATAAACGCCTATCTGGCGTTTGAAACTGGCATCCGTGTTCGAATTTTGCACTAGCAACGGGAGTTTGTATTTATTTTTTTATATAAAGTTGACACAAAATAATACTGTGTGTTGTTGCTTCATAATAATTAAAATAACATTGCTATCTTTCGTACTTATTCAAAATTGAAATAATATGAAATTATTACACGCATTTTATTCTATTTTTACAAGTGTTATATATCTGTCGTGCGCTATCACACGATAATTTAACGAAAATATTGAGATATGCGAGATACAGCTATCGATTTAGTTATATTATACATATATTTTTTGAGATTCAGGATATTTACGACATATTTTTCCGGATGTTTTTCAAAAACATTTTACCCTTTTAAAAATATTTATCGTTACATTCTGAATACATAGACAGAGTGGATTATATATACTGGTAGTGAAAAAGGTTGGATAGAAAATGGGAAAATAACATTTGTCGGCAATTACGGCTTTTATCTCACCGATCAAGATCCTTTTTAGAGTTTGTAAATCTCTTGATCTCCTCGTAGTGCAAGGAAAGCTGACAGGATCGGTGTTTAATGATGGTCTTCGGGGATCGTTGAGGAGCTGGAACACATTTCTCGTTACCTCCATTATGTTTGTGAAAAATTTCCTTGACGTATAATGACGTTAGAATTTCACAAAATTTACGATGAAGAAAATTGCACGTTTAATTTTGTCTTTAATGTTCGTTTTACTAAAATATTTATGTCGGCTTTGAAAAATAGCTTTCAAACTGGGAATTGTATCATCACAGAGTAATTGTGTATGCAAAATTTTATTGTGTCATATGTTTTTACATGTTATTATTTTTTACTGTTTAATATTATGAAGATTTAATCGAAATGTCAATCGTCGCGTATCAGAAAGAAATTAAATTTTTCTATACACCTGAAATAAACTAAATTGCATTTCTGTCGTACTTTGAGTTTTGATGACTACAAAGTAGATAAAATGTTACGAGATAATGACAATCTGCAAAGAAGTCGAGTCTTCGATAATTAACTGTCTATCGATAAATTATTAGTTATCACAATGTCAATATGTAACATTGTTTTCTGTTACTTGTTGCGACGTCAATACACGCATGGTCACATTAATTAGAATAAATAGATGAAAAGCAGCATTTTAAAATGTTTAAAATATTCCGAATGCAATTTTAAGAAATTATTTTATAAATTAAAATTATTTGATGGAAATATTTTTTTGTTTAAATAATTGGTAAATTTTCTTTAATTAGTTCTTCAAAAAAAAAATATATATATATATATTGCTAATTAAAATAAAACAAATTTGATTTAATCCTTTGCTATGTCAGAATGGCATGTATTCAATTTAATCTATTAGTTTGCCGATGAGGTATGACATTGATTAAGCACTGTATAATTGCAAAATAAATTAATTCGATAATTTTGCGAAATTTATACAGTATGTGTCTTGACATCTTCGTCTGACAAGTAATTATTATCTTGCACTGATACTATTTCTATACTTGAATTCGAAATTTGATATCAAATTTTTAACGATTCTGTCAGGCGGATAACTTTCCAGTTGTATGCTCATGATCATTTTTCTCTTTTAATCTTCATATGAAGTGAATGTTAAGTCAATAAATTTAGTAACGCCGAGTTATTAAAATTTAAGAAAATATATGTAAATCCGATATTTAAAAACTTTCTAATTTATACCGAGGCAAAAAAATAGATCTTTAACCTAGCGAAATTAATTCAATATAATTGACAGTGGCGTCAAATTTATCGGGCTAGCTCTATTAATCTGACAAGTTTACTCGTAATACGAAGCCACGAAGTCGAAGCCGAGAGCTCTTCCATACTCGGATAAGAAATCACAAAAGCAGTTTTCCTGTACACAGTAGGAAACAGCATTACATAGAAATGACGATACAATGGAAATGTTATGATAAAGATTTTAAAAATTCACTTTTATTGAACCAATCGTTCATTGAAACGTGAAGAAATCGCGATCGTAATCCGAAAGAAGAGAACGCGAACTGACATAAAATTGACCGAGAATTCGCCATAAATGCAAATAATGCGTTATTACCATTATAAAATCTTTTTAGATGCACTATCCTCCGTAAACTAATTACTTCGATGCGATTGAGGGAGGAATCTTATGTACAATGTGTTTCTTATGAGAAACGCGAAATGAGAATTAGTACTATTATATAAACGTAATTCCACAAGGATACGCAAGGAAATATAAAATACAGGACGATAATGACCCCCGCGCTCTTCACTTTTACAATTTTCCTCGTGGAATTAAACTGCTTCCGGCGGGAGCGCCGGTAATTAAATATGGAACGCAATAGAATTTCTTCTAATTCTACACTAGCATTCACCTTCCGCTACGTGAAATCTCGTTACGAGCAACACGAAAGCGTTATTGCCTCGGCACACTTCCTGCATGACAACCGTGAATTTATCGGATTGCTTCGGACTGTGCCGCGTAAAATAAAGAAAAAAAATACGAAGGATGCACAATGAAGTTTTAATAATAAAAAGCGGCAATAATAAAAAGCATACATCCAACTATCGTATTTCTTTCTTTAATTTTCCAATTTTTTTCTCATTCCCTTGTTTGCGCTGTTCTTTCGCTATTTTGTATTTGCCTAAGCAGGTAACCTCGTTAGATTGAGAATACGAATAAAAGAGAAAGAAGATACCAAACAATAAATTTTAAGCAATTGATAGCATTGCATGATTTTTTAATTAGAGAAAGATAAAGCAGTTAAAAGACGACGTAAGAAGGGAAAAAAGACAAAGAAAAAAGGAAAATCAGAAGAAAAGATACAGAAATTTGACTCCCTAAAACTGAATTAGTGTTTGTTGTATAGTTGACAACATTTTTTTTACAAATAGAGAAAAATTCGTTATGGAGAAGAAAATTCAACATTCTAAGAGGTCCGCTAAGAGATATATTTTGAGAGTGTAAGAATTACTTAGCTAAAGTAAT